ACTTAAAGCTATCATGTTAATCATGAATTATAGTTGTCATTTTGCTATCGATGAGTTTATCTAGTAAAACTGTCAAATATGGATCAAATAGTGTATGTGTCTAGTGTCTTTTTTAGTTCATTGGGATACAATGTAGGAATGAAAATGAACATTGTGAAATTGATAAAACGTCTAAAATAGCTGAATTAAGTGATCTTTTTTTGTCATATAACTTATCTAAATAGGAAACTGATTTGGCAGACTGTGGTATTTTTTATTTCATGTTCGTGATATATTATAATCTTTCGAGTTGAAATATGAAGGGATGTACTATATTCATTGTTAATTGCAAAAGTGTCATTGATGTATTTGTTTCTAAATGTCAAGTTGAATCAAATTGATATTTAACAATTGAAACTAATTTTGTTAATGACCTTTCAAAACACCTTTCAGAAAATTTCCTATTTCTATGAAAGATAAAGTTTCCTGTGATATTATAATTAAAGCCTAGACTTCTATTAATCGTGAGGAATAGTTGTATAAAGTTGGTCGGACGTTTTGATTTTATTGATTTTTGAAAGAAATACGGTCTTTGAGATTCCATTTAGGATTTACACCACTTCTAGAATATGCTGTAGCACAGTTCGTCTGAAGTTTCTCCTTTACAACACAACTGATATTATTCTTCTGAGGAGTAAAGAAAGAATCTTGACCAATGGAACATTTGTTGTATCCGACAGTTTTTCTTTGACCAGATTTTTATAAAGTTTAGGAATCAATATTTACATTTTCAATGTCTTTGTCCGAGATAAAATTACAAATTGTAAATGTACTTTATTTCCACATCAATGTATTGGCGCGGTTCCAAAAAAACCACGTGGAGGGCGGAACAAACAGCTAGACAGAAGCAGGGCCTGGAGCACGTGGGTTGGCGGAATCAAAGCATAAAAATATAAGGAATAACTGTCAGATTTTTCAATTTCATGATGAATCGATTGGCTTGTGTGATAATTTTATGCCTTCGGCGTTTATGCAAATTATCACGCAACCCAATGGATTGATCACATCATGAAATCGAAATATAAAGTACTAACAGTATATTCACGCCACCTAAATTAACCTGCCCAGCATGACTATAGTTGTAAGAAGAAGAAGAATATGCACTGTACATGTATAAGCACTTCTTCTTGTGTTCTAAAAGGAACATAATCTCTTAGGAGGATTAATAGTTTGTTACAAATTTTGTATTTCTAGGAACTGTAGTTTTTTTTATATTTAAAAGTGTTGAAGCAATGGTCAGTGAATATTTGTAATAATCACAAGGTGTGGATTTCAATTTGAGGTACATGTATGGTACAAGATATGATATATAAAGATATTACATATGCATGTGCGCTTCATTTCACCGACATAAACAAGTCCACAAAAGGATCATTCACCTCTACATACATATCCATAAATGAACCAATGCTGCGTCACACCAAAGGAATGAGAAAAGTTTGAAATATAGTAGATGGAATATATGGAAATATACGAACAGTATTTAAGCTCAAAAGTCCATTAAACAACACAAAGTAGGAGCAAAACAACACGGACCTCTAAAACATCAGAGGTTGGATCAGAGGCCAGGGAGGAGTGAACATCCCATGCCGACAGGTCACACCCGCCGTGTGCTCCTTGTCAAGATCGGGAAATAACGGCCGGGAAATTCATGGACAAGTTAGTGTGTAAATAATGGCCTAACAAGTAGAATTCGAATGAAAAAGTCCAGTCAGCATTTGCCTTATTGGTAAATTGTATTCGCTGTAAAGGATATTGTGTCGACCATAGAACTTACGAAATGATGACTTTAAACGAAACTGTTTATATTCTTGTTTCATCAACTTCTATGTCAATAATTTACCTCGTTTACGAAATTTTTCATAGGCAAACCGTAGTCGTGATCATCGAATAAAATGAAAGATATAAACCCTGTATGCAGGTGATGCATAAGTAAAATAAGTTGAAAAACTTATTGGAAAGTAAAAATCATCCATGTTTCTCATAAAGCTTTGTTGTTAGATTACCATTGACGTCTTTTTCTTGTAAAATATCGAAATATTAAAGAGAAATATCAGACTCTGTGGTATCTTTAACTTCAAGCGCACGGGGATATATGTCGACAAATGAATAGAATTTGAAAGAACTATTGTTAATTGCAGCAAGAGTTTTCCAATGTTCACGTATATGCATAAGATTTTGAATAAATTCGGATATTATGTAGATATTGTTAATCAGAATATCTCTTTGATATCAACTTCAGAGTACTTGTGTGTACAACCTGCAAGTTTTTCAACAAAATAATTTTGCTAAAATATATGCATTCTATTTTTATTGAAAAAGAAGCCGTGTGTTAACATTTGAGCTTTTTCTCTGAAACCATTAACCAATTTTAACCAAATTTGATATACAGCATCTATGGACAAAAATTTATTTTATTGTGGAGAATGGCCAAAACCACTAAAATTAATGTATATAAACTGTTTGAAGAAAAATCTTACCAAAAGTTTTATACTGGTGTTGATTTTGATTATAAAAAAAATTCTTTGAAGTAAGTGTTATATATGAATTTTTCCAAAAGCATGGCCCCAGGGTCAGGGGTTCTGGTGTTAGGGCGGGGCTCTATTGATTATATAATGAAAATGCATTAATTCTTTGAAAATCTTCTTCTCTACTCCTGGGATTTAAACAAACTAACTAAGTACATAGTTATGATGAGCAAGAGTGCCTCTTCCAAAATTGTTAATTTTATGGCCCAAGGGTCAGGGGTTCTGGTGTAAGAGTAGGGGCTCTATTGATTATACAGTGAAATGCATTAATTCTTTGAAAATCTTCCTCTGTGCTCCAGGGTATTAAACAAACTAACTAAGTACATAGTTGTGATGAGCAAGAGTACCTCTTCCAAAACTGTTAATTTTATGGCCCCAGGGTCAGGGGTTCTGGTGTTAGGGCGGGGCTCTGTTGATTATATAGTGAAAATGCATTAATTCTTTGAAAATCTTCTTCTCTGCTCCTGGATATTGAATAAACTAACTAGTACATAGTTATGATGAGCAAGAGTGCCTCTTCCAAAATTTTGAATTTCATGGCTCCAGGGTCAGTGGTTCCTTTGGGGTGGGGTGCAGAACTGGTTATAAAGTGGAAGTGCATTTTCTCTTTTTTTTACTCTGATCTACCTCTGAGTATTAAGTAAATAGAGTAAGCATGCTAAGTTTATAATTATGATAAGCAATGGGGCCTCTTTCAAAATTGTAAATTTCATGGCCTCTGGTTTAAAACAGAACCAAATTCAATTGTTCGAAAGTTGTTACATGATACTCAGGTGACCTATAAGGCCCGTGGGCCTCTTGTTATTGAAAAGGTAGCTGAGAGTGATGTCAAAAAGTAAGGACTTTATTTTATTGTGGGAATGGTTGTATATAAAGTTGAAAAATCTTAAGTTTTATACTGTTGATTTTTGTAAAAAAAAAATTCTTGAAGTTCTTCTATATGAATTTTTAAGTATCCATATCTGATTTACATCACTTCTCGAATACATTGTTGCACAGTACTGCGGAAGTTTCTTCTTCCCTACTGTTTATACATTTGTGATACTTTACGGAAAAACTCACAATGTATCTTTGTCAGGATTTTTATGAAGTTTCGTAATTTATAAAATATATTTTCATTTATTTAGGAATTCAAACGATCTAATCTTATTTAAAAGCTGTGTCGGAGCCGACATTTCTCAAACCATATGTCTCTACTGACAATGGTTTTTAATACTGCAAAGAGTAAAAAAGATGCATTAGGCTATTGAACATTTTTTCTTAGTTGTACAAGTTTTGAATTCCATGTATTTAGCTAAATGTTTTCAATATACATTTAAAGTAAGTTTTCTTAACCTCAAACTAAACCTGGGAAAGGAGTATATGTAGCATTTTGAAAGAGCTATTGGTACTTTTAGTCAATAACTGGAATTTTATGTCCTGTTGCAATTTAGTGTAAATGTGTACCATGGAGTTAAGCTCAGAAACAATATCACATATTTTTTTTCATTTTTAATACAGCCTTAACTATAAGGCATATACGTTTATCAAAATCCCATTAGTGTAATTTTGAAGTTTACTATTGTTTGAAGTTTTATGAACAGGACCACAACTGTGGGACACAATACATTCCACTTAAGTTTTTGTCAGACAGCAAGACAGATGGTGTGATGACTCTAACTTCCCATACTAGGTACGTGAATGTAGCAAGATATCTTTATCACCTCTATATTGGGTTTATGTCTCCACGTTGATTCGATACGCAAGAGCATGCTCTACATTGTATGTAAGAATAATTTCTAAAACGAAGCAAGTTATTGACAAACAAGTAAAAAAATAAAAGAATATCAAAAATCTCGTTAAAAGTCATCATTTGCCAGGTTCTATGGTCGTCATGATGACTTTGGCAGCAAATACAAGCCATCATTTAGTCATACGCTGATTGATGTTTTTCATACTAATTGTTAGGCCGATTTTACACATAGCATTTTCCATTACCATTTGCACAATCACATGGAGCAAAAGGTGGGTGTGACTGGTTAACAGGATATGTTTACTTCTCAATGGCACCTGATTTCACCTCTGGTGTTTATAAACGTCCATGTTCACTCTGTTTCCGATTTGTAATTGTTTTAAAATTGATTTGATTGATTGTACGTTTTTAAGAGCCGGTGTGAGCAGTGAAAGATTTTTATCGTGCCAAAACCTGCTGTCATACAGCATCTCAGTTTTAAGGTCTCATCCAATTGACCCATAACATTAACTTCAATGTGCTGAGCGCTTGGCAAAGAAATAGTTGCTACCCATTTCTGTCAGTCACGTCCAAAAAACGAGCCCAAAACTTTCTGAACATTTACCATTTAAATGCTCTTTTGAACTTGATTTCCATACTTTTTTATTGTCACTTTCCAAACATCTACCCTCATAAGAACATTAAAAAGAAAATTCAAGCTGTTAAATAGTCCTTATTTATATTCAATAAATTAACAATACATCATCACATCAACTTCAACGTATCAACAGAGACAGCAGTTTTTTTCTATATAAAAGGAACCATTCGAGACACACATTACTTCTTACGTAAGATGTGTGCAACACAATAAACAAATGATTTTATACATTATTATATCTGTATTTATATTTGATAGTCTCTAGCTCAGATCAGTTTATATTTTTTTCTTTATTCTCCTCAAAACACCATTAATCCAGTTAAGCAAACAAAACATAGAATTAATATCAACTTATGTTAATAAAGAAAACCAAGTATTAGTAAAAAATCCAACCCAGATCACATTACACTTAACTACGACATTTTAAACCTACAATGTGCTTTTGGTATATTACAAAGGAAATGTGTTCATTATACAACTCATCACAACATCAGATTTCGAAAAAGTGTAACTTGATTTAACATTGGATAGTGTTGATCTGCATAGATCTGCTATGTTCCTCATATATCACTTCTTTTGTCCTTCCATTGTTAAGTAAAATTGATTAAGTACATGTAAATATGGAATATAGTAATACATATCATACAGAGCTAAATGTGTGTGCGTATCAAGATCAGTAACCAGTACTTGAAGAAAAGCACTACTTGAATTAATAAACTTAATGAGCAAGACCAGTGCTTTTAAAATATACTTTAGCAGTTTAAACATTTTGCCCCCATTTTTCTTTCAATTTTCAATGCAAAATATTCAAAGATCAAATACATTCTACATACTATTTGAATTCATATTTTAAGTAAAATTGATTTAATTATTTACAGGGAAAATAACAAAATCTCATTTTTTTTTTCAAGAAAAGTAATAAAAGCACCAGTTATGAATTTTTCTAATTGAAATCTTATAAACCACTGTGTTTTAGCATTTATAAAACTTCACTAAAACACGCTTTGATATAATGAAATGCCAAGGATAACTCTAGTAATATAGCTTTTAAATTCTTTAAGTTCATAACAAGTAATAAAGCTACAGTGAAAGAAAACACTTCACTTTAAGTGTCAATTATTAAAAATGTATAAACTTTGCTATTTAATTACCATGTTTTACTGTAAAAGAAAATCTCAATACTTCATACACTTGTCCAGTATTTGTTCTTTTAACTTCAATTGTAATATTCACATACAAATAGTATTAAATTTTGACATTCAGTGACATATCACAGAGCACTTCTAATTTCATGGCAATAAACTTTTGTTTCCTAAGGTAAAATTAAAGGAACTTCGTAAGGGAGGGGTGTACTTTTATGGGGTTCAATTATCTATGTTTTATAAGACAGGTTTTCAGACTTCAAATAACATTAGAATCAGTTTAAGACATAAGTAACAAAAAATTGTTGTACAAAAAAAAATCAATTCCAACAATATTTTGAGACTTGTTCAAATTGAGTATTAAGAGTTCCTGTTCCTGGCTGAGGAGCAGATATCCTTAACTGACAGAAAAAATTGTAGCCACCTTTGTTGATTATATCATGGTGATTATAAAACGTTTGTTGTAAAGAAAAAGTAACTAAATGTGCATATCATATTTAATACTGCATCAATATGGTTAAAATGAGATTTTTTTAACTACTGTGAAATAATTTAATACATGTACATGGGGGTCAGTCAGGAACATAATTTTACTTCTTTGTGGGAATGTAATTCCTTGGTTAACTTGTATATTCAAAAGATTTTTATTTTATGTTTATTCATGGGGGTGTAATTTTGTGAGTACAAGGTATAAGGATGACCATTAAATCCTGTGAAACTGACCCACCATGAATAATAATGATTTCACAGTAATCAGGCACAATTTTTTTTTTGCTACTGTAAAACTGTATCTACGATTTCATGTCCCTCTGTCTCAACCTGCATAAAAACCTTACAGAATTTAAAAATAATATGTAGCATACAAATACTGCATCAGCATTCAAAATGAAAAAGTAAAGTTCTGGGTGATAATTTACATAAAAACAAGATTATTCTGGAATATTTCATTTAGAGTCAATGTGGTATATAGGTATACATCTAATATGGCAACATAAATATAACCATAACAATAAAAAATACAAAAATATAAAAAATAAAATAGGACATAGAAAACATATTTTTGTAGATTATCTTGATCAATTTGATATGCCCCCTCCTTGAGTTAAACACAGTGCAGGTGAGGTGTGGAATATGCAAACTTGGGTGTGCTAAAGGGAGAAAACCATTTCCATGTAAAGGGGTGTCCAAAAGTGGCCTTCAGGCTTAGCCAATAGCCTTTTTTCTGATGAGATGCCTCGTTTTTTATACTTTCAATTCCCTGGAAAGAAAAAGTGATAAAAGGCATTAACAGCTATGTCTAGTGATGTTAAATGGGGGTAAACTGAAATATTAGCAAATCTCAGATAAAACCCATGTGTCCATAATTGCATCAATATGTCCATCAAGAAGAAAATTTGCTGAAGGATATTTCAAAATGATCAATAAATCTGACCTTAATAGGAAAGGTCAAGTCAATACTTGAAAGAAATTATAGACAAGCTTGTTTTTTTTAAGCTGCAGATTTGTACTGCAGTGTATATTTCCATATAGTTTTTAAAAACTGCCATCTCAACATATTACTATCCGTGTGTTCTTAATTTATGTGAGTACTTATCTTCAGGAATGGCTCCTTAACTTCAAATCTTGAGAACAATCATTAGTGAGTGGACAGTTCATCAAGAGATCTTACATGGATTTTAGAACCATAATGATGAAGGCAAGTAATTTTATTTTGTATTTCTCGTAAGATTATGCAATAATTATTCCTCCCTTGTATTTAGGAATTCTAAAGTATTCTTTCACTAGAGCTAAAATGCTGAGGTAAAATACTGCAGAATAACATTAAGTAACTTGTTTGCACTACAATATAATGGGTCATGTCCTTGAAACAATTTCTTAACACACAGGCTGCAGGGAAAAAGCAATGAAATTTGATGAATACAATATTTACACACTTCCCATGAACAAGGATAAAAATCTTTTTTGGATTAGTGAAAATTGATCGTTTTTAGTTCACCAAGTGAAATTCAATAAATCTTCTTCTAGTGTTTAAATTATCTATAAATTAATAGTAAAAATATTACTCTTTTTGAATTTTGGCAAACGATATATTTGTCATAAAGGTAGAAAATTAAATCCTAATTCCTGTGAACTCCTATACAATTCATTGTCTATCATAAACACGCCTGCTAATCGATCAATTGCACAACCAGCAGTTGTGTATAACAATCAAAAAGATCGATTTCCGGTTGTGCATTTGATAATAATTTAGTACACAGGTAGTAAATGGACCCCCCCAGGCAATAAAATTTTTATTAAAATATAAGAATGTGATTCCATGAGCAATTTATTTTTCTTTAATTTTACACTCTCATAAAATGCAGTGATTGTCGATTAGCGACGATATTTGTTTTGAAGCAATAAAGCGAAAATAAATGGAAAATAGTATTCACCGACTAAAATTCGTTTTAATCTCAACTAACCTGGAAAATTCAATGTCCACCATGAGTATGCTACAAGTGCATCCTATCCACCAAAATTGGGACTTCGATATGTGTATAATTTGGCAAATATTCGTAGAAAATAACATTGCTTATGCATGCAATAATTCAGTTGTGAAAGAGATCTCGGGTTATGCATGAGATGAAGGACAAAAAGTTTCAAACTGTATGAATAAGATTAAACAGTATATAATTATAAAGTAGTTTTGCAAAATTTAAAAAATAAAATTATAGGATTTTCTTGCAAATAAGTTGAATTTGTGAGAAAAAAAAAGATATATAAGATAAGTAAACTGTTGAAGTAGATCTGTTAGGGGATGGGATTAAAGTTTCAGTTACAATCAATATAATTACAAAAAAAATTATGTGTGTATTATTTAGATGATAAATTTTGTGTGAATTATCCAATGCATCTTTAATATGGCTATTCCGTATGCAAAAAAAAAAAAACAAAAAAAAAAAACCCAACATATATATATATCGACTTCTTTCAGTACGAAATTGTTTTAACTCAAACATACCTTACCTTTATTTGACGGTACTGCAACAAAAGTGGAGGGAAAGACCGAATTTTTCATACTTTCATTTCATATATATTTTGTAGTAAAAAGTATGTTTTGAAAAAATAAGAGGCAGGCTCTCGATGATATGTGTTTGCCATGGGGTAAGTATTTCTGGTGTTTTGAATCTCGGTATCCTGAATTAAATTTCGAGATGGAAAAATAAGATTAAACACCACATTACAGGTGCTTGTGAAACAGGACACCCCCCCCCCCCCCTATATTCACCCCCAAAACTTGTTGGACACTTTTTTTTCTCACAAATAATATTAATTACATTTATTCATCATGTATACCATAGGGGAAAACTTTTTAAAAAAAAAATAATCGTTCAATAAAAAATACCACTATTAAACATTACAAATAAAATTGATGCAAAGCATCAAATCGGTCGCAAAGTTTATAATTTCAAAAATTACTAGTACTTTCTTAATTTCAAAACCATCAATGAGTCATCAATGAATCAACAAAAAAAAGTCAATGATGAAAGATAAGAATGTATGAATGAAGATGTAGACCTCTCAAGATGAACCACATGCTGAAACCCAGCATGGATCTTTGTCTGACACGTGATAATACCCATGGTTTCTGCAGAATAGGCTACTCAAGGCGCGTAGTATGATGGAAAAAATGTAAAAAAAAAAAAAAATCTTTGCTGTCACATCTGTAGCACATTCAAAACAATTTTTACTACAGTGTTGTTGAAAAACTTTTTATTCACCTTGCAACTTTTACCACTTCATTATTATCCGGATAATCATGATGATTTCCTTTCATATCTTGAACACTCCCTGGTTGGGGAGTACCTATTGTACAAACTCTTTCTATATAACCATATATTATTAATTATCCAATTAGAAATGACAATGAAATTGAAACAACAACCATAAACGCTCAGTTTAAAGCAAGTTTTTAAAATTAAGATTAGTTTACAGAACTATTGAAAAATAACGTTTCATTCCTTATAAAAGAGATCGGCCGCTGCTGCTGAAAAAGTCTAAATGTGATTGCAAAAATGACTGAACATCATTGGCGGATATAGAAGGTTTGTATTTGACCCCCCCCCCCCCACCTTAATTTTTGCAGAGAGAGTTATGTAACATGGATATTTAATTACGTCTAATATTTTGAAAAAAAGATTTCGAATAAAATAAATACACTGTACATGTTGTTCAATCTCTGTTTTCTGATCGCTATAAATAAGTTTTTTAATATGCTTTCCTCCGAGTACCGTCACAATCCCAGCCCTGGGTGGACTACCAACACGTCCTATGCAAGGTTTCACTTGGAAACCATTGGAAGATCCCAGCGAATTATAGCTACATGTATATCTACTGCTTGCTTGTTTGTGTTTTTGTTTTATTTGTTTGTTTGTTTGTTTTTGGCTTGTCAAAGTCCCCCATAGAACTGTTGAAAACTCAGTGTTGCCAGGTTTGAAGTGCCTATATGCATAAGTGTTGGACACCTGGACACCCCCCTTTTTTCAAAAATTGCTGGATCTGCCACTGCAACGTCTTCATATTATAGCCAATATTTAAAATTTTATAATTACCAAAAATATAATAGTATAAGAGGTGTATTATGGAGATTGCGTAATACTTTCGTAACTTTTTATAACCCGAGATCTCTCACAACTGAATTATCGCATGCATAAGCAATGTTATTTTCTACGAATATTTGTCAAATTATACAATATCGAAGTCCCAATTTTGGTGGATAGGATGCACTTGTAGCATACTCATGGTGGACATTGAATTTTCAAGGTTAGTTGAGATGAAAACGAATTTTAGTCGGCGAATACTATTTTCAATAAGCGTTTTCGCTCTACCAGCCCTTGCTTCAAATCAAATATCGTCACTAATCGACAATCATTGCAATTTATGTCTTATGAGAGTGTAAAATTAAAGAAAAATAAATTACTCATGGAATCACATTCTTATATTTTAATAAAAATATCAAATATTGTAATCGGGTCCATTTACTACCTGTGTACTGGAATTATTCGCATCTAATGCACAACCGGAAATCGATCTCTTTTGATTGTTATACACAACTGCTGGTTGTGCAATTGATCGATTAGCAGGCGTGATAAAACTCAAAATTAAATTGAATCAGTCAAAAATGATCAGTCTCATCCAAAAACTTAGACCTAAGACTATAAGAATTTATTTTGACATCTATCCCCCCCCCAAAAAAATAATAAGAGGCCCATGGGCATTTATGGTTACCTGAGTTTATCACAAACCTTTAAGAATCCATAAATGTTCAAAATAAAACTGAAAATAAACGGATACTAGATGAAGATATGTTGCCCTAAAGCAAGACAAATATGTTGCCCTAAAGTAAGACAAATATGATGTCAGAGGTCAATAAAATGTCTAGTATTCAGTAACTTTTTTTAATCATGTTAGTTTCAACAACACCCCTATATGTGATGAAAAACATTCCTGCATTTTCCCCTATATGAACAATACATGTATTCAGTAAAAAATACTAAATACCACCCTAAGACTAGAATTTATGATACAGAGGCCAAGAAGTTCACGATTTTTGGAACAGGCACCACTTTCAAATTCTTTCAAGTGAAATCATTCAATGGAAAGATGCAATTGTAAGATGATGTTTTACAAGTATACATTTGTTACAACCAGTTTTAGGAATCTTACCGTTTCATCCGAACAAATGGCTGACACCTGTGTACCACACATTATGGCTGTGAAGATTCCAAACAGCAGAGCTTCAAAAATGAGGAATATAAGAAAAACTGTTGTAGCTGGTGGTGAAACTCCTGAGCATGCTGAAAATTAAAAAAAATATATATTTTCTCAAGTCACTTTTATGTCTCCTACTTTGTCTCCTGAATTAAATACATTTCTGCTATTCTCAACTTCAATTCTACACCTAAATTTCAATTTAAAAATGATTAACAAGAGGCCCAGGGGCCACAGACGGACTGAGCACATCGGCTAGAAGAAAGCACATATCAGATCAGAACTGAAAGTTTACTCAGGTGGCTTAAAAATTTTTAACAAACTAGAATCTACACTACCAGAGGATGATTCCATTTAAATAGAAAAATATCAGTGATCATGGCTTTGAAGTACTTGAAAAGAAGATTTTAAAAGGTTTCCCTTACCTATATATCCCTATGTAAAACTTTGGTCGGCCATTTTGGCCCCACCCTAGCCCCAGGGGTCATGATTTGAACAAAATTGAATCTACACTACCTGAGGATGATTCCACATGGGTTTCATCTTTCCTGGCCCCGTGGTTCTTGAGAAAAAGATTTTTAAAAGATTTTTCCTATATATTCCTATGTAAAACTTTGGTCGGCCATTTTGGCCCAACCCTAGCCCCGGGGTCATGATTTGAACAAATTTGAATCTACACTACCTGGGGATGATTCCACGTGAGTTTCATCTTTCCTGGCCCAGTGGTTCTTGAGAAAAAGATTTTTAAAGATTTTTCCTATATAATATTCCTGTGTAAAACTCTGGTCGGCCATTTTGGCCCCACCAAGCCCCGGGGGTCATGATTTGAATAAACTTGAATCTACACTACCTGGGGATGATTCCACATGAGTTTCATCTTTCCTGGCCCAGTGGTTCTTGAGAAGAAGATTTTTAAAGATTTTTCCTATATATTCCTATGTAAAACTTTGGTTGGCCATTTTGGCCCCACCCTAGCCCCAGGGGTCATGATTTGAACAAACTTGAATCTACACTACCTGAGGATGATTTCACATGAGTTTCATCTTTCCTGTCCCAGTGGTTCTTGAGAAAAAGATTTTTTAAAGATTTTTCCTATATATTCCTATGTAAAACTTTGGTCGGCCATTTTGGCCCCACCCTAGCCCCGGGGTCATGATTTGAACAAATTTGAATCTACACTACCTGGGGATGATTCCACATGAGTTTCATCTTTCCTGGCCCAGTGGTTGTTGAGAAGAAGATTTTTAAAGATTTTTCCTATATAATATTCCTAGGTAAAACTTTGGTCGGCCATTTTGGCCCCACCCTAGCCGCAGGGGTAATGATTTGAACAAACTTGAATCTACACTACCTGGGGATGATTCCACATGAGTTTCATCTTTCCTGGCCCCCCACCCTAGCCCCAGGGGTCATGATTTGAACAAATTTGAATCTACACTACCTGGGGATGATTCCACATGAGTTTCATCTTTCCTGGCCCAGTGGTTTTTGAGAAGAAGATTTTTAAAGATTTTTCCTATATATTCCTATGTAAAACTTTGATCGGCCATTTTGGCCCCACCCTACCCCCGGGGGTCATGATTTGAATAAACTTGAATCTACACTACCTGAGGATGATTCCACATGAGTTTCATCTTTCCTGTCCCAGTGGTTCTTGAGAAAAAGATTTTTAAAGATTTTTCCTATATGTAAAACTTTGGTCGGCTATTTTGGCCCCACCCTAGCCCCAGGGGTCATGATTTGAACAAACTTGAATCTACACTACCTGGGGATGATTCCACATGAGTTTCATCTTTCCTGGCCCAGTGGTTCTTGTGAAGAAGATTTTTTTAAAAATGCCATTAATTTTTCTCTAATTCATAATTATCTCCCCTTGGAAAATGGCGTGGCCCTTCATTTGAACAAATTTGAATCCCCTTTACCCAAGGATACTTTGTAGCAAGTTTGGTTGAAATTGGCCCAGTGGTTCTTGAGAAGAAGATGAAAATGTGAAAAGTTTACGACAACGACTACGACAATGACAACGACAGACAACGGACAAATTTTGATCAGAAAAGCTCACTTGAGCCTTCGGCTCAGGTGAGCTAAAAATGTAATTAATTATATGAAGTATGTTTTCTACTTACTTTTCCACTCTCTTCCAACACAGGTTATAAAATGGTGAATGGACATATACAGGGCATGACATGATATAATACATATATACATCTGAAAAGAAAAAAAAACAAACACCTTTTTACACAAATAATTTTTTGGTTGAAAGGGTGGGGATGAGGGTTCTCTTCTCTTATGTTGATTATCAATTCTCTATAGTCCAGGTTCCCAAATTTATATCTCGATAATATTTAGAATAAAGCACTGCAATACAATTGCCAACAAGTCTCCTTTTTTTCAACATGTTCTCTCATGCATCGTGGAAAGGTAAAGTACAAATTTCTGCACTTTGAAAATAAAGTAAAAGATATACTAATTTTTTTTTAAAAACTCACTGTGAATAAAACAAAGAATTTTTGGTTGCTTTCCCCGACACAGTTATTGACCCAGGGACAGTGATGATCCATCTTCTTCACACATCTTTGGCATACACTGAAAATTGAGGAATAAGTTAATGTAATCTGCTTAAAAGTATGCACACAGATTCCAATACTACTGACACTTAATTATCGCTTATGGAAAGCTCTGTTCAGTCTTAATGACTAACTGATCACGTACTTACCGGTATATTTGCAAATCCAATGCAAATGAATTTCAGATATGGGGTACTAAATATACAGTATATATCATTATACCAGTAAGATGAACATTAAGTAAAATTCATTTTCTTTTCACTATGTGACATAGCTATAATGTACATTATTTTCCATCATGCAGGGATAGACATTAACTTTTATATTCACTTGTCCTTCGGGCAAGTGAACAGTCAACTACAATTTTGACTTGTCCAAATGCTAAACTTGGTTGCCCAAAATTTTTAAAGAAGAAAATACCAGTAACTGTATCTCAGTTTGTTGTCATAAATATTAAAGAGTGACAAATTAATTTCCATTTGGAAGTTAACTGCCGGAAAAAAAATGTGATATGACGGTGATGCTACATTTTGTAAATATATAAACCACTTTCCTTTCATTTACTATCCTGAAAACACACAGAGTACTGCAGGAATATCATTTTCTTATTATTTTTCCCCCTGAAAATTTAATTTTTTTCCTGGGCTAAAAAATTGAGGTCATGCTAAAAAGAAGAGTTGCCATGTTTTGAATCAAGATACATCGTACACGGAGAATAACTGCTGTTTTTTCATATTCTGAAAGTGAGTTAATAAACTATTCTGTAATATCTATTTTATAATAAGATTGTAACGTATGTAAGTTGTCAGACAGATAATGTATTTTTGTAAACTATGAAAGTCATATAGTAAAGGTTCAATTAACTTCACATTGTCACCAATCTTTCTGAATAAATCACCCTTGTTTAAAATATATATATGCATGTATTACAGCAATTATCATCTTTTGAATGTCAAAACAATGTCCCATTTTTGGCGGAAATCAAGTGTTTAATTTATTGTGTTGTTTATAAACTTATATAAGATTAAAAAAACAGAAATAAAAAAAATCAAGGCGGGGTATCAGACAAGTACATTGATAGTTTCACTTGCCCGAAATATTTTTATTATGGCCTAATGTACATTATTTTCCATCATGCAATGAATTTTGTTCCTTTTTTCTTTGCTTATAATATTAAACTCACCTGCAATGATGAGCTCTGTCTGGTTTTATGGAGACACATTTGGGACACTTAAATACAACCTGCCCATCAGCTAAACCCATCCTCTTTATATTTTCTTGAGTTGCATTTCCTTTTGGCACGGCACCCTAACAACACAAATTTTCCAATAATTATATCTCATACAAAAGATGAGAGTAAAATTAAAATGCCATTGAATTAACAAAAACAACTGCAGGCTATACTTCATATACATGCATTTTACATATTCTAGAAGACATGTTTACATCTTAATCAAGCCTGATGTAACTAAGATTTTTTTTAATGGATGCAAGGAAGCATTTATCTGTTTATCTGTACTCATATGTCTACATCAATTTTTTTCCCAGCACATGTACATTGATTTGTTATGTAACCTTAATTAAAATCATCAAAAAATAAATGTTCTGCAATGTTTAAAAAAAAGAAGTAAAATTGGCATTTCTTATCTAAAGAATAAAAAAAGACTTACAGGATCTGTTAACATACATCTCAGATGAGAAGCAACAGCCAAAAAGGAAAAAAATTGGAATATGATGCCATTAACCAAACTCCAGGTTGTATTAGGATTGTGGAGCAGCATGACAAAGTTGACAACATAAAGTGCATAAAGGACGAGCAGCCAGGTGAAAATGGCACACACCCATCCACAAATGTCCTTAACACACCACAAATGTGGGCTGGTCATAAGCCATGCCAGACCCAGCTTTCTACATAAGGGCCCCAAATCTATAGTGGTCACTCCATCTTCCACTGGACCTTTGTGTCGTGACTTCAGCGTCTTAATGATAGGTCCTTTTTGTTCCTCTTCATCAGGCCTACTAAAAAAAAGAAAAAAATATTGATCAATTTGAAAAAAATGAGCAGTTGCGGGAGCCAGTCAAAGCGCTCCCTAATAAAAATCCCTGTCAAAGCATCCCCTAATTTTTGTCAAAGCAGTCCCCTGATTTTGGTCAAAGCGCCCCCTAAAATATTTTTATAGAAAAAATACCGCCCCCAAATATTGGTCAAAGTGTCCCCTGATTTTAGTCAAAGCGCCCCCTGATTTTGGTCAAAGCGCCCCTAACATATTTTTATAGAAAAAATATCTTTATTTAAACAAATCCTTACTGTCCCCAAGAAATGGTCAAAGCATCAAATAGTTTTGGTCAAAGCGCCCCTATAGAATTTTTTCAGGTAACTGCCAAACAATGATAATATTATAAATACAAAACAGTTTTATTCCGTAACATGTTTGTAAAAATATATTAGGGGGCGCCTTGACCAAAACCTGGGGACACTTTGACCAAAATAGGGGACGTTTTGACCATTGCTTACGGACGGTTCCCAGACGATTTTTTCTAAGAAAAAAAATGTAAGGGGGCGCTTTGACCAAAATCAGGGCCGGGGCACACTGACTAAAATCAGGGGACGCTTTGACCAATATTTGGTGGCGGTTTGGGGGGATTTTACTGTAAAATTCTATAAGGGGCGCTTTGACCAAAATCAGGGGATGCTTGACCAAAATCATGGGACGCTTTGACCTGGACGGTTTTATTAGGGGGCGCTTAAAGCCTTTGACTGGATTTCGCAGTTGCCATTATCAAGACTCCCATTTTGCATAGGTCTATAACTATAAGATAACTAGTGCTAATTGTAACGGGGACCGTTACAGATGTTCCCCAAACGCTCCCCATCTCCCTTTTGGTGCCATATTCCCTGTTAGCTTCATTTAATAAGACAAACTTTATGCATTTGAGACTTTAACAACGTTTACCCAGAAGGGTACCAAGTTCATTCAAATTTTAGCATTGCACGCGTGCGCATATGAATGTACGTGCGTAATGACCATATCATCTTGTCTACACTATCTATATACTTTAAATATTAATATACTAAATATTAAAGTATTTAATCAAAAGTATTAAAAAATAGGCTCATTCAAGTGTATTTTTGGTTTTTTCATTTCACGTGCACGCACGTGCATACATGAGCATGGTAATATACTCTTGTAGAAGTCAATTACATCTATCTATGTGAAAAATCCCACCCCGTTTTGTTGAAAACCAAGGGAGTTCTAGTTGATTAAAGTTTCAGCCAATCAGATTGCAGCGTACGTTCACGCACGTGTTTTGATGTGCATGGTGATCATACCTTCTTGTAGAAGTCCATTATATCTATCAATGTTCCAAATCTCATCCTGTTTGTTTGAAAATTAAAGGAGTTATAGCTATTTAAAGTTTCAGCCAATCAGATTGCAGCGCACGTACACGCACGTGTATGGATGTGCATGTTGACCATACCTTCTTGTAGAAGTCTATTATATCTATCTATGTTCCAAATCCCATCCTGTTTGGTTGAAAACCAAGGGAGTTACAGCTATTTAAAGTTTCAGCCAATCAGATTGCAGCACACGTGCATGCACGTGTTTTCTTGATAATTGCTATATATCATGTTGTAGGATATCCTAATGCATGGCTATGTTCAAAATTTCAAAGGATTTCATCAAAAACCAAGAAAGATATTGAGACTTTAGTTTCAGCCAATCAGAGCGAAGCGCACGTGCATGCGCGTGAGATCTTGCTATTTTGCCCATGTCATATTGTCTATGCTACTACTATATCCTTATATTATGAGTTTCAAAGCATTTCATCAAAACAGTGAAGATTTACGTCTATATCAATTAAATCGGTCATTTCACGTGTTTCTCGTGCGCGCTCTTGCAAGCACGTGCACACAAAATGGCATGTTGACAATGTCATCTTATCTACATTTATAATATGTCTACATATTCTAAATAACAAAGCATTACATCGAAAAATGTAAAAGTTACGGCAATTTCAAGTATATTGGTCATTTCACGTGTTGCACGTGCGCGCTCTTGCAAGCACCCACACACACACATGACCTTCGTTACCACGCAAATCTACGTAACATGCCTACTTACCCTAAAAAGGTTTCCCCTTAATCGGATGTGTACTTTACAAGATCATTCGCGGACAAAATTTTCCCGAGAAGAAAAATAATAATAATAAGAAACCGAGTAAAAACAATATGTTCCCAAACTCCGTTTGGGGAACATAATTAGGTATATATGTAGAAGAAACACAAGCACTTGTGAGTATATTTTATAAAGAACAGTGCTGATCAGCTGCTGATATGCCACTCATATGTCCAAATGGACTGAATATCAGAATATTTCGAAATGTTATCAGTTGTTATATCTAAAAACTATTTGCATTTTTGTTAAATTTTATCTTTTTTTTATTAAGCAGAAACATGAAACTGACATGTCTACTGATTTTTTTTTAAATTTAATCTTTGTGTTCCAAGAAATGCTTGGAAAATGTTTAAGAGTCTTCGAGTAATAGATCCGTCGCCTTGTCGGATAGGCCCTACAGATTCGAGAAAATTCTGACATTTGCTTTGATACGTTGATCTGTTTGCAGCAAATAGTAAGTAAGAAAATTGCACTTACTTGTACTGATCTTCGTCATTCATAATCGTCTTTGATATATGAACCAAATAATCTAAATGATGTTTAGCAACAAGGTTTGGGATCAACACAATATTTCATTTCCACCATCTCCTTCGATAAAAATTACAAAGAATCCACAATATTTTGTTCGGATAAAAATGGAAAATTAACCACACTGCATGAAAATTTCAAATATTTCTGTGGCCTATTTTAAAAATATAAGTTAAGTTATTTTAAATTCTTTTTATAATTGTCATCTTATCTTGCAATATGCTATTAAATTCATGCTTATCATTGCCAAAATTAAACGGGAACAAAAATCTCTTAATTTGAAACCGATTCTTTATATACAAAATTTGATGACGTATTTAACACTTCCTGTTGAAATATTGCAGAGAAACACGAGTTCTCAAAAACATTTTGTTAAAATCGAGATGGCAGAGATTGACTTGAGCGATGCTGAGAAAATATATATTATACACGGCGTACAAGTAATTATTGTATATGCGCTTTTAGTAGTTGTTTTGTAAATAAGCATACATAAATGTTCAAGGACTATGTCCTATGTACAGTTCACAGGACTGTTACAATCACTAGATTTATCTACATGTACATCTACATAGCTTATATTTTTTAATGGTTTCTTTGTGTGAAAGGACAACTGTCGAGAAGATGGGAGGGGATGTGAAGATTACAGACACATTGAATTAGAAACTGGACTGCTCTCCAATACAACAGGATCTGCACGTGTCAGGCTGGTATGGTTCTATATAGTAAATGTTTTATTAAATCCTATATAGTGAAATTTTATGTAAAACATGAAAAAACATTATGAATTGAATTACAGATTATATAAGCTGACTTTATTATGTTCCTTTTAAACTGTTTAATTTACATGAAGAATTGGTAAAGAATACAGTCCAGTCCAATACGAAAATTCGTAATATTACGAAAAAACGTAAGATTACGAGAAAGCGTAATATTACAAGTTATCGTAATATAAAAATTATATTACAATTTTTCGTAATGTAGTTAAATTACGAATACGCGTAATATAGCAGATGTAAGAGACTATATTACGAGTTTTCGTAATCCAAGACAAATTCAAGCATTGCAAGAAACTGAGTGGCGGGTAGCAAAGTATGACGTTTACTACGAGATGCCACAGGCGATAACTTGTACGACTCTTACTGACATTTGAATTCTGTGTATTTCAATAAGAATTGTACGAACAGTTGAATCATGAGACGAGGGTGTGATTTTTAGGATAGACTTCGCAAAAAAAGTAGGGAGTTCGGGTGATATAGACCAATGCGACATGCTTAAGCGAATATTGAAATTTACTGGAAAATTGGTCTTATCCTTGGGAAAATTCCTACAAAAGAATAATAAAAGAAATTGTCCACTCACCCATCGTTGGCGGTACTTTCTTCTTGAATTTCCATGCTTTCTGAGAGGCGTAACTGACCAAACTGACCGCGTGCTATCAGTAGCCGTGGAATCTGATATATTACTGACGTCATACTTTGCTACCCACCATTCAATTCCTTGCAATGCTTGAATTTGTCTTGGATTACGAAAACTCGTAATATAGTCTCTTACAATCTGCTATATTACGCGTATTCGTAATTTAACTACATTACGAAAAATTGTAATATAAGTTTTATATTACGATAACTTGTAATATTACGCTTTCTCGTAATCTTACGTTTTTTCGTAATATTACAAATTTTCGTATTGGACTGGACTGGAATAATTTTTATGTCAATTAATGTCTGTGTAAATTGTCTGTTGAAATATTTCAAAGTGCATCAAAGATTCAAAATCGTTCATGGGAAGAGAAAACAAAAAAGGGATTCTTATATTTAGAATAAGGAGACATGCAAAAACTACATTCATAAAACTATATTTTAGGCAAATACGGATATTCTTGCTGGAGTTAAAGCTGAACTTGATAAACCTTCACCAGATAAACCAAATAAAGGGAGGCTGGAGTTTTTTGTTGACTGGTAAGACTGTGACCTCTTGGGAGGGGAAAAGCAGCCAATACCATTAACCAAAATGTTAAAAAAGCAATAAATAAAAAAAAATCAGGAACTCTAAGATATCTTTTCTCACACATATGCTTAGAATTATACAAGCAATTATAAATTATTTTCAAACAATGGATGTTTCTTTTGAAACAGGATATACACGTTCATTGTATATTCCAAATGTTTTTTCAGTTCAGCTAATGCCACCCCTGTGTTTGAAGGAAGAGGGGGCGAGGAATTGGCAGCGGAAATTGGGAACATTCTGACCAGAACCTATGATTGTCCTAGCTGCTTTGATTTGGAAGCATTGTGCATCATTCCCGAGGAGCAGTGCTGGGTTTTATATGTTGATGTTCTTGTAAGTTCATTATAATTACTCATAATCAGTTTTGTAGTGTTTCCTATTTATACAAATATGACAAGTTTTATATCTTATCATGTTTGATAGTAAAGCAATTTCTATCCTTTCAGTTGCTAGAATGTGGAGGAAACTTGTTTGATGTTGCATCAGTTGCAGTAAAGGCAGCCCTTTACAACACAAAGTAAAGATATTAAATTTGAAGCATTGATCCAAATCCTCTTTAAAATTTAAGCTATATTAATTAAAATTGCGAAAATTACCTCTTAATGTTTATTTTTTCCCCCAGAATTCCCAAAGTGACAGTCAGTAGAGATGAAGGTCTGGTGGAACTGGATATTTCTGATGATCCTTATGATGTACAGAGGGTTGAAATCCAATCATCTCCATGCATTGTCACAGTTTGTAAGGTAAATTCAGATTGAATACTTGAACATGCACCTGCTTTGTTTGACAACTGCAATATGTTGCTGAACAGATGTTTAATAAGTTGTTGATTAAAGGTCAAATTGATGTTTACAGATTGGACACTCGCATATCGTTGATGCCAGTCTAAAGGAAGAAGCTTGTTGTTTAGCCAGGTATGGATTCTTTTCATGATCTCTCTATTTTTGTCCCCTCCCTTTGCCAAAACACAGGTATTGATATTGTTGTGTCTGTGTCTGTCAGTCCTTATGCTTGTTTGTCATTTATTCCATCTTTCTGTAATACCTTTTTCAAGATTAAAGTATTTAACCCAAAAATATATATAGCCTTTAAGTATATTAATTGAAAATTTCTGCCCGCTATTTACGTGTAGATTAACAATGGGTGTGACAGAGAAGGGGACAGTGACAGGACTGAGGAAAGACGGGAGTGGAAGTCTAGACCCCGCCAGTGTGGAGGATATGATGCAGGTAATGATAATACAGGTATATCTATAAATAAAGAAAGGAAATGGAAAATAAAAGTCAGTCGGCCATCTTGAACCATGATTACCTCATTGTGTTGTTTACTGAAGGTACCAAGTCCTGAAATGATGATTTTTCTAGTCTTGCCAAAGCTACTTTTTCAGGAAATGGAAATATGGCAATTTTTTTTGTCATATGCTACTAAGGTTTCAAGTCAAGGTCCTTACAAGTAAAAAGTAGTAGACTTAAAGTCTAGTCAGAGACTTTTGCTTCCATAATATAATGCATATGTACACTGTAAGTATCATTAAAAAAAAAAAGAAACTTAGATAATTGTAAAGTCAGAGGCCTGTTCAACAGAACAAGCGCTCGCGAACACTTCTATTGGAGGTATACACAAGCGTTTACTTGCGAATGTTTGCTCTGTTGAACAGGCCTCTTAGGAACCAGAATATTTTTATCAAAAACGTATTAATTGAAAGGTTTATCCAGCAAATATTTGTGGGTTTTTTTGGCAAAGTGTACTATTGCAAAATTTACAAAAAAAAAAGGATTGATATAAAGCATATTTTCCCAGACATATGCCAAAAATAAATAGACTTAAGAGGAAATCACTATCTGATAAGGAAGATAATTTTTAATCAAAAAATTAATATTGCTCAATATACTTTTTAAGTTGAATACTATAGTTTGATTTAAGGAATAAATTTAATAGCTACCCATTTTATACGGTATAAACTGGGTTGGGGCAGTTTACGCTTTATAAATCACGAAGTGGTTTATAAAAAAGCGTAAACTGTTCCAACCCAGTTTATACCGTATAAAATGGGTAGCTATTAAATTCGTTGCTTATAATTTAATTTTCATTCATTTGATGTAAGAAAAAAAGATGATTGTTCTGACAAAATGACTTCAGTTTGTACAAAATTTGAATGTAACGTCAGGCGGATTGATACGTTTTTGACGTAAGTCATTGTGACGTAGGCAACCCATTTTATACGTTATGAAGTAAATTTTTTATCTAATCAAATACAGCATTACAACCAGAATTAAATTATAATAACTTAAAACAGGGACCTATATACTAACAGGATAGGCAACCCTTGCAAGTCTTGGGATATCTTGAACTCTCGGGATTTCGTAAGTCAACTTTAATTAATTATATTTCTAATGCTATCAAATATTTCGTATCAAAACTTAAATAATCTATCAAAAAATTATTCAAGATTTGATTTTAGCAATGATTATATTCCTTATGCTAGCAGTGATTACGAATCCTTCAAAATCAGCACATGCCCTGATCGGCCATATTTCCAAGAAATCGCCGATTTCGGAGTTTGTTTTCTCTATACTTAAATTATATATTATTATTATGTTTTAAAACTTATTGATAAATCAATTCCAATACATAAAAGGAATAAATGATAATAATCAGAAAACATCCTGTTTACTGGGAATAAATGTAAATTGAAAAACTTGTAGTGTTGTGCGTGATGTTTCCGGTAAATAAACATGGCGATGAAGGAGTTGCCTATCCTGTTAGTATATAGGTCCCTGCCTAAAAGTAGTCAATTCAAGCAAACCTAACATATGAAGGAAGCATTAATTTCTACTTTGTTTGTCAATACTTTTTTACATTTTTTAATTGTTTGACAAAAAAAAAATTCTATCCAGTTTTAAAATCCTTACAGATTTAATAAAATCATTTCTAAACATTAAGTAATGTATCAAGTACCAAATATATAATTTTTATTGGACAGGCGGTATAATATTTTATTCAATAGAAAAAGTATAAGACAGACAACTTTTGCTCACAAATGTATTCTCTCTTCCAACCAGTCCACCACATATAACATTGTTATATTTTGACTTAGAAAGCAGCACTTGATTATATTTTTTTAAAATTAAATATCAATAATTTTGATAGGTGTGACACTAGATATTATTTTGGTATACATCTTACATCTCATATTTTTTAATTTTTTCATGTGATAATAAATTATTACTGTTCCTATTCTCTCTCTGTATTTAAATTTCTTCTCATTATGAATTGACATAAAAATTATTTCTGAAAAAAAAGCAGTGCTTCATATTTTTCATTTGAATCTGATTCTATATCTCTTGATGAAAATCAGTGTTTGGAAGTTTGAATAAATTTTGTGAAATTTAGAGCAGAGAGTCATTATTCCTTAACAACCTATATTTACAGTATGTCTTTTGATTTGAATTTTAGACAGGAAAAAGAGTTGGTGAACTCCTAAATAAAAGCTTGATGGAATCACTTTTAGAAGAAGGAAAGACAGGGCTCCAAGAGAAAACCTGTTGGATTTCTGAAATAGAAGCCTGAAAAAGTATGAATAGAGATGATATATAACATCACAGGTAACAGTAATTTGTTTTTTTACTTTTAATATTTTTCTACGAAGTAAAAACATACATGTATATCAAGAAAACATTTATTTGAGTACACTTTAATACAGTCAACCATTTTGGAAGTGAAAGCTTACCTTCATAAAAAAAATACCAGTATTGATATATTTAACGGTGTACAGGTATAAATAAATGTATATGTTTATAATATACAATGTAGGTAACAGTGATTTTGAACATTAACAAAGTGATCTTCAAGGTCTACGGTGGAGAAAGCTTTTCAAGGACACAAGTGTGCTGCTTATTCAGAATGCAGTCAGAAAGTGGAATATGATGAAACAGGCAAATCATGACAATAATAAGTGCATATTATATAATGCATGTGTATATAAGTAGTATAACATCAAATTGTGTAAATGAAGGGGCTTGTTGATGCAATAATATGTTATATCAATTGTTATTTTTATTATTTTATCATGGAATAAATTGAAAATAATCCAATATTCCATTTTCTTATGATATTTTGAAAAAGTTTGGCCAGGGCATATAATATTTGACATCTTTCATTACTTATTTGATAACTTCATTCCTCATGTTATTATATACTGGTATATATTTAGCTCAGCATCTGTAAATGTGATAACTTCATCTTTTCAATCATCAGCTTCCCTTAATTATGGCGCAATATACCCTTATCTTCTGCAAATAGCATTAATATTTAACAATTGATTTGATAAACAAGAGTAAATGTTTTAAGGCCCCAAGATGCATCAACTTACAAGATTTGGTATCTAAAATAAAGGGATTAAATGTTTTACAAAAGATGAGACACGTGTATTTTTTTTTAAAAGCATTAATTTATATCTACCTGTAGACGATTCAAGATTTTATCTGTAATGCTACATTTTGTGCTGTAAATATACACCATTTATATGCAAACAATCATTATTCTCTGGCTCAGGTATACAAATTTGATTTTAAAAATCTATTCCTTTTATCCAGGAAAAGAGAGGATAATCTTGATAAAGGAACTGGAAGGCTTGAGTTATGGCCCATATTCTAAAAAACCGCACAATGAATAAGATTAAAAGCATAAAAAAGATCCTACTTTGTAGTATAGAGAAATTGTCATGATATAGAAAACATGCGCTTTATTTGCACGATCTCTTGATCTTTTCAGCTGATAAGTATATACAAATCCCTACTTAAATTTTAGCCTTTAACTTATTTAATTACACACAAAGCAATTAGCTCTCACCAAGTTTGAGAATCATGATCCTTAGACATGTAGGAGGAATAATCTTTAAGAGGTTAATTTCTTGACATTTCTAAGATGTACATGTATGTGACTGTGCTTCAAACATAATTATAACTAAATGCATGTACCTGTGTGATTGTATCTGATTCTTCAGTGTGTTATGGCATAATTGAAAAAATTTTTAACATTTTCTTAAATATAAATGTTACCTTTCACTTTATATAGACAATCACTTGTTAATCTGAAAAATGTATACTGAAAGGAAAAAGAGACGAATAGTAAACTTTTAAATTAAATGAAAACTATTATTTCGAAAATGTTTTCCTATATTGTTATCAAACATTTTAATTTATTTTTAATCAACAAGTTACCAAAATCTTGTGTGACTTTGAGAGATAATTCCTGAGTTATTGAAATTGATATGTCGATACCCCCCGAAAATTAAAATAAAAATTCTCATCATCTCCCTTGCACATCGGTAACAGCCTTGATTTTCCTGTGCATTGAGTTTACCAGAGCATTTATCTTTCTCATAGGATTATTATTCAACCCTTCCGACAATAGTCTTAATGGATGTGAGTAGCTGTATTATACCAAAGCCAACACCCCCCCCCCCCCCCCCGCCCAACGAATCCCACGAATTTTCGATTTAGGATAGAATTTACAGAATCCAGCTGGTTTAGTACACGTGAATGTTTGTAAGAAAGTCTCGACAAACACGTACATTTTTCCAGTGTGAGCATGCTAAAACATTACGCATACGATGCGTACGTGCGCTTGTAGGAGTAAAATCGCCTTTAAGTTGCCAAGCTTGCGGACCAAATTAGAGCAGAGAGTTTCTGTCAATTTTAGGGTGGAAAATATGGTTATGATAGTCTACTGTATAAATATCGGTTTCAGTGATAATGCCTTGACAATAACCGAGGTAGCATGATGAAAACCCTTATCTTGATGTGACGTTGTTACGCGCCAACGTCATCGCCATGGTTGGTTGGAAACTTTTTAACGACGTTCGATCCTGATATTTAAAGTCTTAAACTTTTTTTGCCAAGTATATTTTTAGTCTTTACATACATAGCTTAATTAAAATTCAGATAAAAATTATATTTTTGACGTTTTCCCTCCAATATTTTTATCCAATTAAAGCATGAAACAAAATGAACTCTAAGTTTGTTTAAAAAAAAAAGACACTTAAAAATTGTGATTAAGAAAAAGTTTAAATTGCTTCGCGTAATCAATTATTTGACCTTCATGCACTAATAAAAAGTTATTTTTCTGGTATTGAAAATTTAATAAGCAAGAAAATTATTTTAAAGTCTTAAACTTTTTTCTGATTTTACGCAAATAGGCCAAATTTATCTTGAATATTTAGAAAAGAACATTAAAAGCAGGGGTATATGATTTAAATTTTCATATTACTAAAAAAGTATCAATTTTACGTTAAAATTGGCTAAATTTTTTCCCGGATTTTCAGAATATATTTACGATATTTGTCACACTTTGTTGATAGAATTAATAAGAAATAATTTAATAGATATTTCAGAACCAGCGTAACACATTTAACTGCAAAAAACAGCTTTTTGTGCAACCAGGATGGAAAAATAGGAATCCAAAATTAACAGATTTATCACACTGTAAATTAATTTATAGTTCAAAATGGAAAAACTGATCATTTTCGTCTAAAAAATCTTCCGCCACAAAATATAGTCCCTATCTTAATTCTTCTTGAATGGAATTTAATCGCTGTTTTTTCATTGAATATAGTTAAATTTGCACTGTAGAATTCAGATTTAATGTTAGAACTTAAAAATGATGCAGAATTTTATAAATAAAGGACCTGACCAAATTACGCTCAAAATCTCAGGATCGAACGTCCTTAAGTTACTCTCTGACAACCGAAAAAAAAACTTTTTTGGTTGAAAAATTTAAAACAAACTGCACAGCAACATGGCGTTGCCTTTTTATTCACTTTCGCAATTCAATTACTGGACCCAATGTTACTTCCGTCAGCCATACCATGATTGCAAGAAATTTATACTGACTGCAAATATGCAAAAACGATGTCTATTACTCTAATGCATCGCTTGTCACTATAAAATGTAACCACAAAATTGTCATCATCAATATGCACGTGTTTTTGCCTTTTTTTTCACTTTCCCTACGTGACGCCATACATTTCATGGTTGAGTAGTTTTGACCAGTGATTTTAGTGCAAAGTAACAACAAGCTAATTCAGAGAATTTGTTGTCCCCGCTTAGGGAAAAAGTAAACCATGCGCAGTTCGGGGGAAGGGGGAGGGGGGGGGGGGTCGGACCCCCCTGACTGAATTTGTAGAATTATTAAATGTATACATGTATACTGAAGCAAATAAAATATGCCATTATGGATATAAAGATTTGATTGCTTATTCTTTATTACGTTTATAGAAGATTCTTTTTATACGGAATATTTATCACACTGTAATGATGATTTTATGAGTTTGTACAAGCCAGACCTCATAAATTTTTCATTTCACATACTGAATACTATCATTTAGATAAAAAAAAAGTATTACGGAAAAAGAGGAAATGGATCGTCCAGGACTCGAACCCTGGTCCTCTCACATGTCAAGCGAGAGACATACCACTACACCACGGAACCGCTTTAAACTTGCGTAAATTATATGCAAACATGAAGTCCATATATGTATATATTCACGTTCGATATTGTCAAAATTTTACACAATGCATGGTGTCTAAGAAGATGGGCGCATTTGGCGTGTGATCTGCAGGAATCATTTGTACGAATCATTTATGGTTTAAATGTCCATGATTTGGTTGGCTGAACATAGCTGGTCAGATTTTACAAACACATCCATAAGTTTTTTTTCATTTAGTTTGAAAGACCTTGTGAAATTGAAACATTTATGCCCGTTTTCCTGGGGGATACTATAACATAGTAATGTTTAACAAAAATAAACACCTAAAATATTTAATGCATAGATGCATGATACGTGTACGTGTACATCATAGAATAAAAGATTAGAATTGATTTCGCTCGAGAACCAAACTGAACCAAAATTTATCTAATTCAAAATTTTAATACATCAGTATATAAAACGAAACTGACAAAATAAATGGTTGTTTGCATGAAAAAATATTAACGCCCGATGCCATGCTCGAACCAAAAACTTTTCACCTACAGTGCACTGAACAAGTAGTCCAACTAACTGAGCTATCACCGCTACTCATATACTGATGCTTTTAAAAGGACAAAGAAGCACCACTTTCACCCACTTGGATTTTTTGGGGAAAAGTTCATTTTTCGTGGTCTCTGGGTCTTCTCTCCATTTTTTAAAAAAAGTGTATTCGTTTCTTTGAATTAAAATACACACAAATAACGTTACAAAATCATGGAGAGAAGACCCAGAGATAGAAAAATTTTAGAAAAACTTGTTTAAAAAGGTACCATTTTGTACAGAATGTCTGATCTGGCCAATTTTCAAGTTATTTTTTAGCAAACCAAAGCTCAATTTCGGGAAAATATTTTCCTTTCCTGTTGCACAGGAACCCGATAAATAAAAAAAATGTTTGAAATTTCATGTGACACGTCGATAAAATTTTCACTTTTCAATTACGCCCAGATTCCTGCCGAATGCCAATCAAAAGCGCCCTCGTTCGTTAACCTTTATTAAACAGTTCTAATAGATGTAATAAGAATATAAAGTCCGCCGAAAACCTGTTTTAATACGTAATAACTCTCCTCATGCCCCTGTGCTAAAAATAGCGACATGTAATACAATAAATACTATAATAAAACAAACGGGGCGGGACACTTTGAGAGGGGTGAGAGAGGCCCTAGGGAGTTTTGGTATAAAATTACATTGCAAAAGCTCTAAATCTTCTTGAAATATCGCCCGGAAAGGATAGTGATACAAACAGACAGAATGTACAAATTTACGACCTTGAACTTTGACCTTTTGACCTCAAAATCTACAGAAGTCTTCCCTAGGTCACAGGGAGTTGCTATGTAAAATTTCATTGCAAAAGCTCAAAGGGTTCTCGAGATATCGCGCGGAAACAAAAGTGTTATAACAGACAGAATTTGCGAATTTATGACCTTGACCTTTGACCTTTTGACCTCAAAATCTATAGCAATCTTCTTTAGTCCATAGGGAGTTGCTGTGCAAAATTTCCTTGCAAAAGCTCAAAGGGTTCTCGGGATATCGTGTGGAAACGAAAGCGTTACAGACAGACAG